CTTTTCCGGCAATCGCAATTGCGACCACTCGACCAACGAGGCAGTCAAGTTAAGTTGTATGTTGTTTAATTAATTTCGAAATTCACAATCTCTAATTTAGCTTAGCCAATAAAATCGTGAACTACAGATATATTTTTGTTGGCTATAAAAAAAAAATTACAAATCGACACGTTGTCATCAGGAATTTGAATTGAAGATAGAAGCAATAGATATCGCGAGCAACAACACGTTGAAATATTTATACCTACCTACCTACTTACATATTTATTCATTCAGAAGCTAGATCTAAATAGTTCAGGTACGTCAAATATTTCATTAGAACTTAGATCAGTTGGTATTCCAATGGAATCCATGAGGAATGCTCGTTCGATGTCTATTGTCTAGCTATCTTGCGGTTATACATAGGAACCTAACTATGGGTAAATAGGTAAGTATTTGTTTTCGTACCTATACCTAGATTATATTGTATTAAAGTGTAGTCCTTCAGTTTGACTGGAGTGATACCGCGGCTTCTCAGAAAACCGGCGTGAAACAACGCTTGCGTTGTATTTCGTCGTGTGAGTGGGGTTATTACCGGAGGAGACAGCATATAAATTACCATCATGTGATCCGTCAGCTGGTTTGCCGATATATCCTATAAAAAAATTATCTAGCTTGTCTAGACAAGCTAGATAATTTACTTACTTATCTATCCAGCGCTAGTGCGTGGAGATTAAGGCAAACGCTTCTTTAGCTATTTTAGCTCACGGGGTTTTGATCAGTACCAGCTTTACCATAAGAGCACTTGGGGGCTGTACCCAGAGGTCCGTACCCACGTATTCTCAGGTGCCCCGAAGGACCGACAATTTCTACAGCGGATACACACCCAAGTTGTGCGGTAGCCGGTTGCCGCGCAATATGTAGCAGGTTCCATTCCTGCATGGAATAAATCTTTGTGTGCTCCACAAATTCTTGTATCGGGTCTGGGTGTCATGGGTATGTGAATTTGTATGTTTGTAAATCCACCCACGATGCACCCACGAGTGTGCACCACACTTGGATTTTCTCCTGTACCGTGGTTGCATTTACGTTAAAAAACGTTACAACAAAAAGACATTCCAAAAGGGCCCCAAATTATTGTGACCCTAAGGGCCTTAACGCAGTCTGAGATGGCCCTGGTTTTGATGATAATACCTGCGATTGAAACGATATAACTGAACTAATACACAATAGGTACTCTTGCCTATATCTATAACCTTTATATCTAGAGGTATAAAGAACTCAATCATTGATACACTAGAATGGACATTGTACCCTCACGCAAGTGCATTGAGATAAGGGCACAGACCAGTTAATTTCAGTTATGACAGTACGTACAAATATTATTTAAAAAACACATTCGTTTATATTTATATGGAAAATACTGGATATTTCCAGATTTAACAGGGTTCTTAGTTCTTATCATAGTCGTTAAAAACTGAATCCCATTCAGATAAAAACTTTTATTTCGATATGCTTCGTGTGTACCATAACATAAACATGCCTGTCATATTTAGCAAACAGGGTTTAACTGTACATGGCCAGAGATCGTCCTGAGATCCCCGAAGCCTGATGAGTCCATCGCGATGGCTGGGTTGCGAGGAGGGAGCGCTTCGCTGCCTCACACGTTCCGCCTCCTCCTTAGCTAGCATGATTGCTTCGCAAAAGGACATTAAGAAAGCTGCTAAGTACATACCTCTATATTACAGCAGTCATACCAATAATACGTACTAAGTATGGGAGAACTATGCTTCGGCACGAATGGGCCGGCTCGACCGGAGTGATACAACTCCTCACTTAAAACCGACGTGAAACAACGCTTGCGTTTTGTTTCGTCGTGTGACTCAGGTTACCGGAGGTCCAATTACCCTGTTGGCCCAACCTAAGAGGTTAGAAGAATTAGAAGATTTTATTATTAGGAGATTACTTATTTGTTTGTTTAAATTAAATGTAACCGCGAATTATCTGCTATTCCTATAAACTTATTATCTTTATCGGTACGTACCTACTTGTTTCTTGTCATTATGTAATATCAACTTATCATAATAATTTGTTTATATTTTTCATTCATTATAATTAAGAATTAGGCTGTAATTTTCCGATGATTTGGTGAAGTATTGTATAATTGCTGTTGGTCGTCAGTGATTTAATTGACCTTCATCACGTAGGTTTAAAACAGTAAACATCTTATTAAATTAATATGTATTTAATACCTACGTCAATAGTTTGAACCTTCTATGATTTAAAGTTCATTGTTTCTTGTAAGACGCATCAAGTAATAAGGTCGGTAAATTTTTATTATTGAATATTTTCATAGTATTAAAAAGTGTCTTTCCGGGGTCTTATGGGGTCTTATTAGTGGGGTCTTATGACTGCCGCAGGAACTGCTGCTTTTTGATTTTGACACGTTCAAAAGGCTAGCCTAGGCCTAGCTTTTTGGGTGAAAGACTATAGGGATTCTTACCTCCCTAAACCACCCAGGAGGCTACCCTCAGCACCTATAAGCGGCCGGGCCCTCTGAAGAGACCTGCTCCGGAGCCCCCACGGTACAACGTCTGTTACGGCACATCCCTAGGGAGACGTGCGTGGCCCTTGATCATCGCTTGGTCATCATCATCCCTGAGGCCACTGGATGGGCACCTAGAGTCCCCACTATATGCACCTGTATTATACTTAAGAAGACTATTGAACTACACATTTGACAGAGGATGGACGGCAGGGTTCTCAATTAATGTTTTACTGCCAATTTCAATCCAAGATCTGTGGATGTGAATTGATTTTGTACAGAGTTTCTGTCATAAATCGATCTTATTGAAATCTATACGATAGCTATACGACGTGGTAATAGTATCTAGCTGTCGACGATAATGTACCTACTAAAATTACCTCCATTTACTAATAAGATGCAATAAAAAAGTATGTAAGCATCAAATTTAATATTCGTCAATAGCATAAAAAATAAAACCAATTCGCTTTTACGATTACCTCCTTGTTTATTTATCTTACTCTTTGCAGCAAAATGTATAAAACAAAACTGCATTGGTATCGTGCCGCCAGTGACATGACACTTTCAATTGGCGTTCTGCTATTCAAGTACCAGCAATTGGTTCTCATTATAATATCAGCTAACATTGAAAACTTGATATTCTAGTGTTGCAACTATCAAGAAGTTGTTTAGATGTAAATAATACACAATATATCTACATATGTATGTAGATTGAGGCATATTTACTTCCTCTTCAGATAAGATAAATAAATCAGGTCGTACGTTACGATGAAAGTACCTACTTGATATCTAATAATTGTTTGAATAGATTCAAGATCACGTTTCATTAAGATATAATTTTAATATTTTTTATTTATTTAATCTAATCGCCATCGACCCTCACGACAGCATATGCATCGGATCTGTCGTCGGCGATATTTCCGAACCGATACGACCTTCAAACTTTCAAGAAAAGAGCGTATTCCTCTTTAAAAGACCGGCAACGCGGTGTTGCGGGTGGCCATGGGCGGCGCGGATCGCTTACCATCAGGTGATCCGTCTGCTCGTTTACCTCCTATTAGGTACATAAAAAAAGTATAATACAAAGCTTCAACGCCTTCCAAGTTCCGAAGACGAAATCTTAAAGATCTTCGAGACGCAAGACTGTAACAAGTGGACTGATTGTTTCTTTATGTGACGGTAGATAATCATCCAATGACTTGTTCCACTTTGGGTTAGGTGAGAGTCACACTCTTAGTAATTAAAAACCTCCCCGTTCCTACATATACGTATATGGGTACATACACCTTCTGTAAACGTAGTTCAAAGTTAAACCTACGTTTAAAATTGTCTTACATTTTTTTTATGGCATAAACCGGTACCTAAACGAGCAGACGCATCACCTGATGGTAAGCAATCGGCGTCGCCCATGGACACCTGGAACACCAGAGGCGTTAAAAGTGCGTTACCGGCCTTTTGGGAATTAGGAGTTTCAGGATCGTTGGAGATTCAGGAATTGGGGAGATTGGGGAAGGGGAGGGTAATTGGGCCTCCGGTAACCTCACTCACACGACGAAACACAACGCAAGCGTTGCTTCACGTCGGTTTTCTGTGAGGTCGTGGTATCACTCCGGTCGCGCCGGCCCAGTCGTAGACACACACATCATTAAGATGTTATCAATTTACTTTGATTTCATCTATTTTTGTAACAGTGATTGATAAATTATGTTCATGAACTTTGTAATAGACGATAGATGTACAGTTTTATTAGCTAGTGAGTAGAATAATAAAATATTGGAGTACGCTTGTTTAGATTTGTTCCACGAGTGTCGTTGATGAGATCATATACAGGGTATTTGTTTTATGTATGTACGTAGGTAAGTCTTTAATTTATTTATGTCAGCAACCACACTTCAATGTTATTAAATGTGATTATTGTTGTTGCAATTAGCTAATAAATAAAATGTTATGTTATTAACAGTCGTATTATTTTAAACACAGATTTTATTTCTAGATTATTACAATTTTACAATTACTTTTACATTTTAGTACCATTTTTTGCACCATTTAACCATAGCTGCTTTGTTTCGGCTCACATTCAATTCACATTCGCTTTTAAGTCATAGATGTATATCTAAATAGTTTTTTATTACTCTTATTTTTTCGTCACGACTTTTCCTAAACACTGATTCTACTGGTAAGAAAATCTCCACAAAAACCTGTGAAAATAAATTAAATACAATTTAAATGTATTTTATTTACGTATATACAAATCCTAGCTACCCTGTATTGTATAATCAAACCCATTATCACTGGCGTCATAAACACAATAATAATAGTATCTTGCTCGAGGCTCGCTCAGTTCACATCGCAAACACTTATTGCTATCGCATCTATGTAATAACACTCAATATGTATTAAATAATACGCTAATAATAAAAAAATAATAATACATTTTTCTTATTTAATAGTAAAGTGTTAATAGTAAATAGTAAAAATGTGCTACAAATCGCTTTTGCGAGGTGTGAGAGCCGCTAAAGTTATTGGCTACCAAAAGAGGTGTTTTTCTGTTCATGGGATTTCATTGAATGTGAGTATTAAGTTGTTTATTTGTTTGTATATTTATTTATTTCGCTGTGTTTAAATTACGTTTTATTAAGTAAAAATGGTTTAGCTAAAAATTCATAGAAACACGTAATAAATTTAAATGGATAATCCTGTACTTATTGTAAATACGACAAATAAATAAATAAAAAAAATTATATGTATGAACAAAATAGGTTGGAGTTTTGTTATTTATATTAATGAAATACTTACGTTTGTTTTAAACCAAAATAATTATACTGTAGACGAAACAGGTTTAATTTATATTTTAAGTTTTTACATCTGTATGAAAAATAATAAATTGTAAATGTTTTATTTTAATCCCATGTACTTATTTATCTTCGTACAAATATCGATTGCTTTTTATTTAAGAAAATTGACCATATTACCTAATAATTAAATTTAAAAATGTGCGTTTTATTCGAACTGTCCTCTATAAATATTTTTAACCTATAAATGGGTGAACTAATAAAATTCTCTATCAATCAATGGGCTGTCTTTGATTAAATTGAATAAAACAATAACAGTATTTCATTCGCCGACACAGAGTCGCCCTCTAGGGTCAGCTTAGTTACGTAACTTAAGATAAATGTAGGATATACTGGCTTAGTTCATCACCAATTACCTTTTGCAGTTTATATATACCAATATAATACATATAGGTACCTACTTATTGAATTATGTTCATATATGTTCATATATGTACTTTTCATTAATTTCCCAAAAAAGTTAGCAGCCTCATAAGAAAGTACCTATTCATATTATTAAAGTAATGTATGTAAATCAAATGACTGCCTCGTTGGCCGAGTGGTTGCAAGAGCGACTGCCGGGCAAGGGGTCTCGGGTTCGATTCCCGGGTTGGGCAAAGTATTACCTACTGGGTTTTTACAAAATTCTTAGTAGTAGCACGGCGTCTGGAATTGTGCCCGGTATATGGCAATAGGCTTACCCCCTATTACATGGGACTCATAACATAAATTGTAAAAAGTGGGTGTTACATTGTGCAGTGGCATTATGTGCACCTCTGCCCACCCCTTCGCGGATAAAAGGCGTGATGTTATGTTATGTATGTAAATCACATTAATCCAATACCTAAATTAACTAAAAATCGCGGGTTACTCACGTGAATATACTGAGAAAAGCTCTACTATCTAGTAGAGCTTTACAGCAACTAGTAATCTTACTAGTTACTGTAGGTAGCAGTAGACCGCGCACGCTGCTCATGAGGAAGAACCCCTCTGGGGTTCGAAACTAGTAGAGCTTTACTCAGTATATTCACGTGAGTAACCCACGATTTTTAGTTAATTTAGTATGTCTCACGATAGTTATTATAAAAACAATCCATTACTTTTACAATTTCGACGAGCAATTCTTGTATAATATATATATCAACGATCTCGGAAACGGCTCCAACAATTTTCTCGATATTTTGTATGTAGGTTTCAAGGGACGATAAACCCATCTAGCTAGGTTTCATTTTCAGAAAAAAACACCAATCAAAGCTCGGTCATAAAAGCACTTTACCTTATCTTTGCATAGGGGAATATTTTATTACCACACAGTATTACATCTTGCAAAACAATAGTACTTTGCTCAACCCGGACATTGAAACCTTGACCCACTGATCAGTGTTTGTGGTCACTAGTCTGACACGGAAGTAACTATAATTGACGAATTAGATTTCATTATTTAAAACAGAAGTGTCGACCAAGAGCGAAATCGGTCCAGCCACTCACGCGTGATGCCGTGGCCAAGGGAAAAAGGGATTCATTTTTATATTCATTTTAAGTGTGGGAGAGCCATGCTTCGGCATGAATGGGCCGGCTCGACCGGAGTGATACCACGGCCTCACAGAAGACCGACGTGAAACAACGTTGTGTTGTGTTTCGTCGTGTGAGTGAGGTTACCGGATGCCCAATTACCCTCCCCCCATTTCCCCAATCCCTGAATCCCCAACAATCCTCAAATTCCTAATCCCAAAAGGCCGGTAACGCACTTGTAACGCCTCTGGTGTTCCAGGTGTCCATGGGCCGCGCTGATCGCTTACCATCAGGTGATCCGTCTGCTTTTCGTCTGTTTACCGGTTTATCCCATAAAAAAATATATTTTTATATATAGATAGTATTTTTTTAAGGGGGGATAAACATCGAATGACTGCTCCCGCCTGGGTGAGGCGGGAGGGAGTGTCAGACTCTTACTGACTAAAAACCACCCCGTTCCTTCTCCTGCACGTCGAGCCCCGGTAACCCGTTAGGTTCTCCGCGACATACATATATAAATAGTATAATATTGTAACACCTACATACGTTAAGACTACATTAAATATATGCATGTAAATAAGCAGATACAAATATGCTGATAGGTACATAATTGTACATACTAAATTATCTCGTTTGATGTTATGTAGATTCTGCATGCATCATTGATGAATGAGACATGCATTTTATCCATAATGCATAGGCAAGTAGACTAGAAATAATTATGTAGTCTTAAACAGAAGAAAATCTGTTTTTATAATAACTATCGTGAGACATACTTAAATTAACTAAAAATCGGTTACTCACGTGAATATACTGAGAAAACTCTACTAGTTTTGAACCACAGAGGGGTTCTTCCTCATAAGCAGCGTGCGAGGTCGCGGTTGCAGCAATGTCGCGCAGCCTACATGTAGGGTCCCTGTCTGTGGTTCAAAACTAGTAGAGCGTTTCTCAGAAGAAAATCTGAGAGAAAAAATCCACGACTTTTCTTAAAAGAGATTTTAAATGGTAAACAAATTACTTACTGACTGCCTCGTTGGCCGAGTGTTCGCAAATGCGGCAAGGGATCTCGGGTCGGGCAAAGTATTACTGGGTTTTAAAAAAATCTCAGTAGTAGCACGGAGTCTGGAATTGTGCTCGGTTTATGGCAATAGGTTCACCCCCTATTACATGGGACTCATAACATTGAAAAGTGGGTGTTACATTGTATCTACAGTGGCATTGTGTGCCGTAATGAGCACCTCCGCCTACCCCTTCGGTGATAAAAGGCGTGATGTTATGTAAATTACTTAAACATAAAATTAATACACTTGCTACAGTGCTACTTACAATGTACATACAATAAATATAAGTATTTAGAGTCCAGTTTAACTCAACGTTTAAGCGCAGTAAACTGCACTGAACAGCGGCGAGGCGCACCTTGCATTGACATCAACTTCAGTAATACAAGTTTGGTCGGAAACTACTTGTTCAAAACTGTATTAGGCTGCCTGTCTATTGACGCGGAGCGGAGCTAGCGAGTATTGCGAAGCGGAGTTACGGACTGTGTCTGTCCAATGACGCAGGGCGAGGCAGCAGAGTGTCGTGGTTGCCCGGAGGTTTAAGACGCCCGCTTCTCACGCAGCGCACGCCGTTGGTAGGTTCGAAACCTACCAACGGCAAGTACCAATGTGACTTTTTCCGAGTTATATGTACTTTCTAAGATTATTTAGACACCACTGACAAACGGTGAAGGAATAACATCGTGAGGAAACCTGGACTTATAATATCTAATTATAAGTTTGAAATCGCCAACCCGCATTGAGCAAGCGTGGCGATTAATGCGCAAAACCTTCTCCGTGTGAGAAGAGGCTTTGCTCAGCAGTGGGCATTTATAGGCTGTTGATGAAGAGGCAGCAGTGCGGAGCCAGCGAGTATTGCTGAGCGGAGTCATTACTCCGCCAAACTTCAGCGGTATTCTATACTATCCCTATATCCCATACGCTCGCCCCGCTCCGGCTCAGTCAGCTGCCCCGCTTCGACGTCTCGCACCGCTACCACGCGTCGCTTCCGAAAATGTATGAATTTTTAAACAAACATAACATCACGCCTTTTATCCCCGAAGGAGTAGGCAGAGATGCACATTACGACACTTAATGCCACTGTACAATGTAACACCCACTTTTCACTATTTATGTTATGAGTCCCATGTAATAGAGGGTGAGCCTATTGCCATATACCGGGCACATATCCAGACTCCGTGCTACTACTGAGATTTTTAAAAACCCAGTACCTAATACTTGGCCGACCCGGGAATCGAACCCGAGACCTCTTGACCAGCAGTTGCACTTGCGCCCACTCGGCCAACGAGGCCAGTCAGAATGTTTAAACTACCTCGCAAATCCCTTTCAACTAAAGCGAAGCGGAGATATCATGCAATCTTATTGGTTGATATTTCTTCGTTTCTCCGCTCCGCTGCCCCTCTCCGCGTCAATGGACAGGCAGTCTTACGTGGCCACCACAGCAACTGTTTTGTACAATGGTTATTTAAATGTTTTTGGCTTTAAAACATTGTATTGTAAATACTTTTTAGTTTCCGAAAAAACTATAGGAGTTGTGGTGTTGAAATGAGCAAAGGAAACGTGAAGATGGTGGCAAATTGATTATAATTATTTGATTTTACTTTACCTTGAATTTTATTTACATACTGACTGCCTCGTTGGCCGAGAGTACCGGTTCGATTCCCGGGTCGGTCAAGTATTATTTGGTTTTTAAAACAAATCTCAGTAGTAGCACGGAGTCTGGATATGTGCCCGGTATATGGCAATAGGCTCACCCCCTATTACATGGAATTCAAAACATAAATAGTCAAAAGTGGGTGCTACATTGTAGAGGTACAGTGGCATTAAGTGCCGTAATGAGCACCTCTGCCTACGGGGATAAAACGCGTGATGTTATGTTATGTATGTTTATTTGCATGTTATATTTTGATTTTAATTTTATTATGAACTCAATTATTTTATTATTAATTTTATTGATTAATTTAAATTCGATTACATGTAACATTTTTATTACTAGATAGATTTCGCCAGTAAGCCGAACACATAAGAATTAATTAATTAATTAATTTATTATTTATGTACACACATACAACACACAGGACAACACATATATAAAAACGAGGTACATAGGTAGGTAATACTACTTCTTGCTAAAACTATGGATTCCGAATAAATGTATTAAAGAGTTT